ATGGTGCCCGAGTGCTGCCCCCGGCCAGCACAAAGAGCCGCGTCCGCCCGCGCGATGCCTTGTGGGAGGCGAGCTATTAGCATAGGGGGCGGGACTCGCAGGCCCTGGCCCAGGCACCCGGAGGGCTCCAGGCTCATTAGTGGAGGGGGCGGGACCCTCGGGGAGCGCGGAGCTGAGCCTGCGGAGGCGGGGCTCATTAGCATGAGGGGCGAGGCCTTCAGGAGAGATAGGTGTGGAAGGCTGGTAGATTACCATAGGGGGCGGGGCTGGAGGACGACTATTGGCGTTCCAGAGGGCGCTGGGCTTCGTTAGCATAGGGGCAGGGCCAGAGTAAGGGCGGGGCTTCGTTGAGAGCTGGCAGGTGTGTGGGAAGGTGCCAGGTGCGCAGGCCTCAGGGCCCAATCTGGACTCGTGCATAGGAAAAGGACAAGAGGTGGCCAGGAGCCTGCTCAGGCCAGGATAAGACAACTGCGCGCAGGGAAACCCTGCCTCAGGGCAGGGCCGGTGTCAAGCCAGGTATGGACAGGTCATATGAAGAAAACACCAGTCAGGGCTCCTGCTTCCTTTATTGGTACCTGAGGGGCTGGAAGCAGCCTTCTAGGCTGTCTCCACCTCCCACCCCTAGGTTTTTGCACACTGGATAGGACCTTCGAGGAGAATTCCCTAAGACCAGTGTAAGTAAGAGCTGGGACGAACTTTCAGGACAGAGTTCATTCCCAGGCAGGTGCTCAGGAAGTGTCAGGAGCCCTCACTTCCCTTCTGCCGCTTGGAGAGACCGCTGGGGCAGGGTCTCCCTCCGGCACCCTCGAGGGCAGCGTCCAGTACCTGCCCCGCAGGCCAGCATGCACCTCCAGGAAGTCAGTGCTGAACTCCATCTCAGCCTCACTGCCCTCCGACTCCCAGTAGAGCGCCTGCTGCCCACGGAAGGTTGTGGTCCTCGTGCTGTGCACGTCCCGGATCTGGGAGGAAAAGGCAGTTGGCATGATGGGTCCCCTCACCAGAGAGCCCTTATCGGGGACACCAGCTGGGCTTGGCTACTTTCTCCCAGCAGGCAGCACAATACACATTTGTTGAGTAAGTAGGGGAAATCCTCCTTCCCATTTTTCCAGAAATGATTCTGAGATTAGAGGTCTGAAGTAAACTGAGGGGGTCCTTGGAGCCCAGTCCCTGTCTCATCTCTAGTGCCAGCTGCCCAGAATCATCCTAAGTCAGCCCGTTCTGTCCCGCTCCTGGGGTCCTCACTGAGATGTAGCTGCCACTGGTCCCAGTGCCCATGCTGGTGGCCAGGACATAGATGGCAACGCGGGCCTGCGGAGCCACGCTGATGAAGACCCGGCAGCCACCTGTGGTTCTTCCGTCTGCACTCAGTAGGGGGCTCAGGATGTCACCCCAGGGTCCAAAGAGCTGCACATCGCATTCTGCAGGGGAGAAGAGATGGCAGACCCAGGTGACCCGCCTCAGGGACACAGGAACCCAGACAGACGGGGACCCCGAGGGGACAGCGTGGCACCAAAGTCATGTTCAGGGGCTCCCAGGCAGACCCCTCGGGTCCCTGCTTCCACCCCCATCTGGCTGAGCAACCTTAGGCAAAGACCTTAAATGCTCACGCTTCTGTCCCTGCCCCTGGAGAGTGGAGGAATGTGGCTCGCACTGGGAAGGGGCCTTTCAGGAAGGCTGGATGAGGTCACGGGAGGAAGTGGCATGAAGGTGGGCTCTCCAGCGACCGCCAGGGGCCTACTGGCCACCCAGGTGCTCCCCTCGGCCTCCCTCCCACCGGTGTCCGGATGTGTTGAACCCAAGCAGTGAGGAGCAGTGGGCACAGGGCCAGCAGCACAGCTCCCAGCTGAGGGGCCAGCGATGCTGGGGCAGAGGGTGGTGCATAAAAGTGCAGCGGCCAAGCCCTGCTGCACCACTTTCCCAGGAGACCCGGGGAAACTGAAACTCTGCGAGCAGCTGGCAAAGCCAATTTCAGCCACCTTGGGCCGCTGGGAGACAGTGAGCCCCAGAGGCAACAAGAGGGTCGCCGTGACACCATCCTCTGTCTGAGGAGGGTGTGGCGGCGGGCACCCGTGCACAGTGGGCACGGCCACACACATTGACACCAGTGAGTGCCGTGGACTGAGGGAAAGTGGCTCACAGCAGGATGCTAAAGGTCCTTGAGGGAGATGAGCCCAAGGGCGAGGGACTGAGGGATGGGCAGATGCAGACCAAGTCTCATTCCCACCCAGCGGCTGCGTGGGAAGGACCACAGCTGCATTCCGGAACCTCATCCAAACTGCACACCCAGACCAGCCCTGGCCACTGCCACTCTGAGCTGCCCACTGCCCCCGCAGCACGGGCCTGGTCACCCCGTGGGGAAGCAGGGACAACCCCAGGCCCTCTGTACCTCTGTGGAAGGCTTCCGGCACAGCCTGACTCCCGTACCGCAGCACCACTCCACCCTCTGGCCGCACGCGGAGCTGTCTCACCACCAGCGTGTTGGTCTTGGAGCCCAAAGTCTTGCCCCCCAGGTCTCTGCACACCTTCCTCCAGGTGAGCTGGCTCCAGAGCAGCAACGACTCCCCTAGGAAGTGAGGAGGTGTGAGGGCCCAGCGCCCTACCCCAGGCTGGCGGCAGCAGCTGGGGTGGGGGCTAAGCTGAGACCCAGGCCGACGCCCCTCTCACTGGCTAAGCGACTCTGAGTAGGGGCGTGTTACTGAGTCTCCCCTCGTTTCAGGTTCTCGTGTGTAAAGCAGGGACAGGTCATGAGTTGCCCTGACAATGAGTAGGAGCGCATGGGGAGCATCCTGTAGGAGTGGGGAGCCCTGAAGTGGCACTGACACCTGGCAGCCCTCTCACTGGCAGCAGTGGCCCTAGATGTACCTGCACTGCAGTTGAGGGAACTCTCAAGGACCTGGAGGGTCACCCCCTCACCCAGGGGCCTCCCAATGGCCACCACACAGTCCGCCTGGCCAGGGCCTCGCATATCGATGGTTCCCGTGGGCTCCAGGTACTGCCTGCCACAGACACCTGCAAAGGCAGCGGAGGAATGGGGTGAGCAGAGCTGTGGGGTCCCCGGAAGTGCGGGCCAGGGCCTTCTCTGATGTGCAAGGAGCCTCCCTGGGTCCAGGAGGAGCTGCATGGGTCCGAGTGTCGCCCTCCAAGGCTCAGAGCTGCTTCTGGGTGCTCCAGAGCTAGGGAAGTCCTGGCTCCTGACCCACCAGCCTCCCAGTGAAAGGGCCAAGGAACCTAACTGGACTCTTCCGGCCTCTCCTGGGGCCCTGGAGGCTGAGCAGCTAGGGGGATGAGGCGGGCCCGAGCCAGGGCCTGAGGCCCCTCCAGAGAAGCAGCAGCAGCAGCAGCCATGCCTGGGCCCGGAGTGGTGGTGCCCTCGTGGAGCGCCAGGCTGGGGCCCCGCTGTCCCACACAGGGCCCGGCCCAGCACCCCCGCACTGTCACTGGCTTGGGCAAGTGCTGGCAGAAGCTGGCTGGCAGGGGTGCCTGGCCCTGGGGTCCAAGGCAGCTGTCACGCCGGCGCTGGACACCATCCCCACAGGAGACGGAGCACTGCGGGGGAGAGGGGAGGGTCACTGCTGGCCTCGCGATGGGATGATGGGGACAGCGGAGGCCACAGGCCAGGAAGGCTCAGCCTTAACCTGGAAGGTGTCTCCGTTATACAGCCCAAGACACAGGCCAGCTCCAGACAGCCCGCTTCCCTCCTCTAAGGCACCATGGTGGCCCCGTGGCCACTAGAGCACCTGAGCTCCATGCCCTCCACCGGGGAAGCCCCAGCACTGTAGCAGCCCCTACCTCCGTCCAGCGGCTGATGTGCCACCGGTAGGCACAGTCAGCCACGAAGCACGGGACACTGGCCTGCGGCCGCACCGCCACCTCACAGGATGCCTCATCCACCTCTGCGTCCTGGCCCTGGTCTAGCTGCACGCAGGCCACTGCACGTGTCGCGGTGCCCAGGCCACAGCTGGCTGAGCATGGGCCGAAGGACAGGACTTTCCACCTGCAGAGACAGAGGACAGCGTGAGCCCCCCTTGCTCCTCCAGCCATCGCTGGACCTCTCTCCCGGCCTTGAGCCCTGGGCAAGGAACAGTTCTGAAGGGCTCTGCAGGAAGCGGCCCCTTGTCCTCTTGGTCACAGGACACCCACACCCGCACAGCTGCTTGCTGAGTGAGACGCAGGCACGAGGCCCAAGGAACAGAATGGGATCTTGATGTACCACGGTGCGTGAGCGAGGCGAGGCCTGAGCCCTGTCCTGCCAGCTCACTCTGAAATCATTCAGCAAAGAGCACTGGACATTTCCCAGAGCCCAGTTGTGAATCCAGGCAGCCTGCACTGGAGCCCTGGGTCTCAGCTCACAACTTGCAATGCTGCCCCTCAACCCTGTGCTTTTAGAGGACACCAGGGTGGCAGCATGAGCCAAGCTGCAACCCCAGCCCAAGGGGCTATGGTCTCCTCCTAGTGCCGCTGGCCTGGGCACTGCTGCATGGTCCTTTGTGCTGGGGCCTGCCCTGTGCACTGTGGGAGCCAGCAGCAGGTCCCCCCTGCTGTGCCCACTAAAGCATCTTCCATGCCTGTATCCCAGCACTCTGGGAGGCTGAGTCAGGAGGATTGCCAAGTTCAAGTCCAGCCTGGACAAGTTATCAATTTAGTGGGTCTGTCTCCAAATAAAAAGTAGAGAAGGGCTGAGGATGTAGCTCAGTGCAAAGGCTCTAGGTTCAATCCCCAGTACAGTAAAAAAAAAAAAAAAAAAAAAAATCAGAAATTGTCACTGTGCACTGTTGGGATGGAGCCTTGCCTCCCAGAGAAGCCTCAAGCCCTGGGGAGTAAAGTGCAAGACACCGGGAAAGCCCAGGACAGTGAGAGGCTGGAGTGGCTATGGCATTTTCCAAGGGGAGGCCAATGCCATAAAACCCCTCACTGTCTCTGAATATCCTGAGGGGAGCAACTGCATGGCCCAGGAACCTTAGCGTGAGCGAGGACAGCAGGACACTGCTGGGGGGCGGTAAAATTACAGCGTGAAATGGCAGGGGAGACCTGGACAAAGCCTCTGGCACACAAACTGTAGGGTGGAGTGGGGCGCCCTCTGGTGGTAGCTCCGTCACCATCCCTGCTGGGACCAGTGTCCCGGACTCCCCCATCTACAGAGGTGGTTCCTCCTTCCCCTGGGCTCCCCACAACTGCACCCACAGGACGCCACCCTCTCCATGGCACATGGACCTCACCTCCCAAGCCCAGCCAGCCCGCCGGGCTGCCCTGTGTCTATGAACCGCAGGTCCCTGAGGGTGTCACAGCGTGCAGCACCTGTCACCTCCCCTCACCTGGGGGCAGGCCTCCTGGAGCTCTGGGCAGGGCAGGATTTCCTCGCCCTCACTGTCCCCCGGGCCCGGGCACAGTACGGAATCCCCTGTGTGACCGCCTCCCCACAGCTGACGCTGCAGACCGCCAGATGTCGTGTCACTGGGATAAACAGGCTCAGCAGGCCCAGATCCCCATGGCCAGGACCCCAGGTGCCAGTTCTCCCGTCATCCCTCCAGACCCAGGAGACAGGAGGCCGGGGAAGGCCCAGGTAAGTCCCTCCTGGGGTATCCTTTGTGTCCCCCAGCAGCTCAGCCCAGGGGCAGAGTGCTCAGAAAAACCCACTTTATGGAAAGGGAAGCCAGGGCCAACAACAGGCACATGCATGTCTGGGGCAGCGCAGGCAGCTGGTGTGAAGGCGCCTGGCACGAGGGGGTCCATAGTTCTGCTGGGCCACATCAAACTGTCCCACTGTCCATCTTAGTCATGTCCAGTATCCCTGCCCCCTTTGGCTCAAGGGGGGGGGCACCTGTCCTGCTTGTTCTCTGCTGTGTCCCCTGGCCCAGAACAGCACTCGGGCATAGCAGATGCTCACAGAGTAAATGGGAGCCAGCACGGCACCCACAGAACCCCGCGCCTTCAAGGTGCTGACATGTGGCCCCACAGCCTGCTGGGCAGCAGGATGACCGCTCCTGCAGCCCAGACCCCAAGGCTCAGGAGGGGCGGCAGAGCTGGGGTGCAGACTAAGGCTGCCCATCCCTGGGAGAGGGGGTTCACCTGGGCGAGGGACTCACCTGGCCGGGCAGGGCTCCGGGCTGCAGTCCTGGAAGGGGCCGGGCCGGGGTGCTGGCCAGCACTTGGAGTGAGGCAGAGGGACAGGGCGGCCGTGGTCCAGCTTCACGCAGCGCACAGCCAGGGGTATCCGCCCCCCTCCACAGGTCACTGGACACGGCACCAAGGCCCGGGCCTCCCACCTGCAGGAGGAAGGCCAGGCTCACGAGGAGACTGCCCTTGGGCCAGGCTCCTCCCCTTCCCTGCAGTCTCCCTACCCCACTCACTGAGCGGGGCACGGGCCAGCCTGGCACACCTCCCACCGGCGCCCCGGCCTGCTGGCCAAGTCACACAACTCCTCCCGGACAGGTGTCCCGAGGACGGAGGCCATGCACAGGAAGCGCAGCTCCATCAGTCCTGTGGGGAGGAAGCAGGGGCCGCCTCACCCCAAGAGATGGCTCAGCAAGGACCACAGCACGTGGCTGGCTGGACAGGTCTGGCAGACAAGGCCCATAGGGCCTGAGCCCTGGCTCTGCCGCTGGCCGGCTATGTGACCTTGGGTGAGTGACTTACCGTCTCTAAGCCTCAGGTTTTTCGTATTACATTACCTACCGGCAGAGTCACTTAAAAAGATAGAAAAGGAGACCTACAAAGTGCCTGGCATGGCACACATAGGTGCTCCACAAACAGAAGCTGCTGTTGGGCATGGAGATGCGTGGTAAGAGTTGAGAGAAGAGAATCTCCTTCCGGTCTCAGGTGTAGACATGCTGAGGCCAGATGGGGCACACGCTTAGGGCCATAGCGCACCGTGGGCATCCTCACACCCGTCCAGGTGGCTACTATGGAACTAAAGCTTTCAAAACCTCAGAAGTAACAAATGCTGAGTGAGGAGATGGCGGAACCTGAACCCGCACCCAGCTGGTCGGGATGTGAAATTCTACTGCAAAACGGCAGAGGGCTCTTCCGACAGTGACGCACGGAAAGGGCGCATGATCAAGCAGCCCCCTACTTCCGGGAGACCCCAAAAGGAGCAACAGCCCGGACTCTGGGAAGGATACGCAGCAGTGTGCGGAGCGGCATTATGACAGAAAGCCAGCCGCACATCCATCCGGGGAAGGATGCAGAAATAAAGCCTGGTCAGTCCTACAAGGGTGCCTCTCAGCCTTGAGAGAAAACAATCCTGACAGCTGCCACGGGGGTAAACGCAGAGGACACCGCGCAGAGTCAAAGAAGCCAGTCACGAAAGGACGAGCCTGTGGGACTCCAGGAATCGGAGGGCCCTGGAGAAGTCAGATCCACAGAGACAGGAAGTGGAGCGCAGGTGGCCAGCGACGGCAGGTGGGAACAGGAAGTTGGTGCTTAAAGGGGCCGGGGGGTCAGTTTGGAGTGGCAGGAAATTTTCAGGATGGATGGATGGCAGAGCGTCTGCAGGACAGTGTGAATGCACTCGATACTGATGAACAGAACACTTAGGTAATTAAGATGGTGACCACTTACTTTCACCTCTATGAGAAATGAACACAAAAGTCACTACGTGTCTCTAACTTTGCTTCTCTTGGTGGCCAGCTCGGACCGTCTCTTGCACCTCTGCTAGACGTAAGGGACACCAGTCAGTGCCGATCTCGCCAGGTGCTACTGTCTCTCCTGACCTTTGGCTCACTCAGTGAACACTGAGCGCAGACTCAGACCTGGATGTGGTCCCCCTGTCTATGCCCTGTCACCACGAGGCTGGGTTTTCCTGGGACACTGCAAATGCCTGCTGGGCCTAAGGCAGAAGCAGGCAGGTGAGAGAGCTAAGGACTGTGTGGCTGTCGGGAGCACCCTGAGGACCCTCACCTCGCCCACAGGAGACAGAGCACAGCCCCGGCTTAGGAGTCCACACGTGTGCGGCCGGAGCCTCCTCCTCTGGAGACGTGGGGTGCAGCTGCAGGGGTGGAGGCGACGGGGTGGGTCAGGACTCTCGCCCGCCCCACCCCGACCTGTTCAGGAGACACAGGAGAGCAGCCAAGGGCCCCCGCTCCACCACGCCTGCACCATTCGCCCACCTTGGCCTCCTCAGGCTCCTCAGCAGTGGCAGTGGCCTCCGTGGGGTGGGCCGAGAGCTGGGGAGCAGGAAGGGGGTTGCGAGCATGCCTGGCCTGCAGCCTCGGGGGCCTGGTTGCCAGCCAGGGTGGGCAGCGTTTTCCTGCACAGCAACTAAATCAAACTCCTCCAGGATGCTTCTAACAGGGCCTCTGTCCTCCCTACCTGCTGCCCCTTCACAGGCCCAGCAGCACCTGTACGGACAATTCTCCCGCTCTGACCTGCAGGGCAGTAGCCTCCGAATCCTCCTAGCCAAGCAGGACCCAGGAGCTCTCACCGCCCTCTGCCCAGTCCACTCACCTGATCCCAGGCTGGAGGACACACCGTTCCAACACAGGGCTCACCAGCGAGCGGCATCTCACGGGTGGCACAGGGCCCTGCGGTTGCTGGTGAGCCCGGGCCATCTGCCCCCTGCGTCACACTGGGCGAGGCCAGGCCTGCTCCACTGGCCGCCGTGCTCAGGCCAGGCTCTGACACCTCCTGCCTGAGGACCACACGGGACCTGGTTGGGCCTCTGCCTGACTGCAAAGGCTGGGGCGGGGGTCCCTGGATCCAGGAGCCCAGACTCTGCCCGAGAAGCAGCCAAGCTCCTCAGCTTTCCCTGAAGGACTCCGGAGTCAGCCGGCTGCTCCCCCAGCCAACGCCTTCAGGGTCCCTGCAGTGAGACACCTCACACAGTGCCAGGGGCCAGGTGCGGGGAGCCAGCCCGCTCCTCCTGCCTTCCTCCCCGAGCCTGGGGCAGACCCCTGACCAAAGGATGGCGATGAAGGGCAGGTGCCTGAGGAATCGTTCCCAAGCTCAAGGGCAGCAAATGAGCTCAGGGTAGAAGGGTGAGCAGCAGCCACGCGGGCATGTGGAACAGGGGCCAGGGCCAGGAAGAGACACCTGCCCCTTTGTGAGCAGGGCCCTCGTCCCCATTTCAACGCAGGGTCTGGAAGTTCAGTCTCCTGGTGGCAAGGGATTTGCAGCTGCACCACCAGCAGTCACCAGGACGGACCCTACACCCCCAATCATCCACACCAGGCCAGAGGCAGTGTCCTCAGAGGGTCCCTGGGCCCCCACGGCCTCGCCCATTCCCCATGGGCAGCACTGCATGGGCCGAAGTCTCCAGCTGCCCAGCTGAGTGGGGACAGAGCATCAGCCCTGGGCCGGCCCCCAGGCTGGCCGGGAGGACAGAGGAGAGGCATCGGAGCAACATACTTCCCCCGACCTGGATGGGGCCTCTGTCCCAGGTATCCCCAGGTTGACCTTCCAAGAGGGCTGGCCTTGCACCTGACTCGGCCCCGAGCCCAAGGACAGGCCTACAGCAGGGAGTGCTGCCCCTAACCAGGACAGCCTTGTCACGAGCAGGGTGTGGAGGCTGCTAACCACCACCAAGGCTGGTGCAGGTCGGTGCTGGCCCAGGCCCCCAAGCCTCCCTCCAGACTCCTAGGACCTTGCTGCCCAGAGGTGTGGTCACAGCAGGTGGACACTGTCACCATATCTGTCCTGAATCACAGTCCCTCACCTGAGAAATAGGGACGCCAATGAAACCCACGCCCAGAGCGACCTCAACACTAAATAAGGGCACACGCAGAGCCGCCCCGTGAAGCCACGTGGGTCCCTAAGCCCAACACTTACAGTGGAGGGCAGGGCGCAGGAGCACAGGGCTCTGGCCACGCGGGCGGTTGCGGGCTCCCTCGACACCAAGTGGCCTCCACCCACACATTTTGGGTCGCATCCAGGCAGCTGTAGGACACCCAGCGCAGCCCTGCAAGGGCAGAGCCAGGGCTCGGCCACCTCCAAGCAGGGGCCAGCAGGGCAGCGGGCGACCCTGCCCCGGGCCTCACCTGCCCCACAGCTCACCGAGCAGGGCCCACGCTCCGCGGCCCACACCCACGCCACCTGCTGCTTGGGCTGGAAGTAGGTGAAGGTGATATCTGGCCGGGTGTGGGCGCCGTAGTCCTCGCCATACCGCCTGTACACCTGCACGGGCAGACCCTGTCCCGTGGGCACTCTGGGCCACTGCATGGCCACCAGCCCCCAGAAGCCTGTGTGCATCTCATCCCTCAGCCCAACTTGCCAGGCCCTGGGGACAGCACAGCAGACGGCACCATCTGAGCTCAGGGCCCAGGCAGTGCCTCCCGAGGAACCAGCACTGCGGGAGCATGGAGCAGGGTTCCTGGGCGTTCTGGAGTGGGGACAGACTGCAGTGGGGCCTGCAGCCAGGGTCACCCAGGCCAGCGTCCAGATGAGTCCAATGCTCCATGAGCTTCCACACTGAGAGCCCGGCCAGGGGCAGCAGGAAGGGACGGGATCCTAGAGGCCTCATGGCCTGGCTTGATCTTCAGAACTAGAAAGGGGTTCGGCAGGACTCCTGGGCCCATTTGCACTTGCAGAGGGGACTGGGCCCAAGAGAGGGGCCTGCCTGGGGGCGGGTCCCACAGCACACAGTGCCCTCAGCCCCGGCCGCCTCTGCGCCCACGGCTGCCCACCCCACGGGCCTCCAAGGGAAACACAGGATTCCCAGGGCCCCCAGACAGCATGCTGCCCAGATGCTGGAGGAGCTGCCAGCAGCGTGCATTTGGAGACAGCATTTCCGGGCACTGCCTCGGCCAGAACCCAGTGTCCTCCAGGCCATCTCAGCTACACACTGACTCCGGCCCTGGCCTGGCACACCCAGGAGCTCATGTCAGGGAGACACAGCCACACCGAGCCTTCCTGGGTGCTGTGAACCTTGCCCCAGAGAGGCAGGAGGACTCAGCATCCACCCTGAGGTCCCTCTGCACCACGCGGGCTGCATCCCTGCCGGTCCCACCTGCCACGCTCCCCGCAGGGAGCCCTGCCCACCTCAGAGCGCCCGCCCTCCTCCCTTGCCCCGTGTGTTTGTGAGCTGCACAGGGCCCCACCCTTGGCAGGTCCCCGGGTGACCATGGCACAGATGGGTAAGCAAGTGAGCAAGTGGTGGACAGAACAGAGCCGGAGCCCCCAGCCTGGCTCCCCTGTCCACTGAAGACCTGGATCTCCACGTCTTCTTGGACGGGTCCCTGGATGTGGATCTCCTCCTGGCGGGGCAGCTGGTCCTGGGCGAGGGCCACTCTGTACTCTATGCGGCTGTCTTCCAGGAGGGACGGGTGGGTGGTGTTCGGTGCGATGCCGCCTCCCCCAGCCACGACGTAGTGCCCTCGGATCCTCACCGCTGCGAGAGGGAGCGTCAGCCCCAGGGAGCTGGTCGTCCTGGCCTCTCCCTCCACATGCGCCCCTCTCTGGGTGTATCCCCACCCGAAGGCTTCCCTACACCTCCCACCATACCTCCTATGGAACCTAGTGTGGTCACAGCCTCTGCCCCTCCCCGGTGTCCTCACACGGAGTACCACTCTCGGGTCAGGGGCTGGGTGGGCCCCAGGGCGGGTGAGGGCAGAAAAGACCCCTGTGGCCCTGACCAATGCAGATGTAGCCTCACCCACACCTGGCTCGTCGAGAAGCGTGAGCCCCAAGAGACAGCCCGACCCAGTTCCACGCAGGGCCTGGGCCCCCCAGAGCCGGGGCGGGGCTGGCACACCCGGCTGAGCACAGAACAGGGCTGCCCGCGCCAGAAAGACCAGCCGCATGACATCAGTGGGGCCCTGAGAACCCAGAGAAACTATCCTGGCGCATCACTGCCCATCAACCGCTCTACGGATGGAAGCCTGAGGGAAACTCACAACCCAGGCTTCAGGGGCTTCCTGGTGGTCACGCTCCGTGTGCACATCACGTCTCAGGGCTTGAAGGGTGCCAGGTCCCAGGACACAGGGCCCTCACGTCGGGGCCTCCCCGCCACCTTCCCTTTTCCCTTCCCTTCCTGGGCAAGCGTAACCTTGAGGGTAGCTTCCCTCTATGAGCTCTAGGAGTCTCCTGGTGAATTAGAAAGCCAGGGCCACTTTGGGCACCCCCTGAACCCACAGCTGGGGTCAGAAGTGAGGACACCCTGGGGACCAGTGATGGTGGTGTCCCAGTCAACTCACCCAAGTGCGTGAAGAGGGGCCTGCGGTTGACGACGTGCACACTGGTCACGTTGGGGGTGACTGTCAAGAATGTGACATACTCTGGGGAAAAGCAGAGTGGGGGATCTTGGGGTCTCGGGTCACCCCCGTCATAGTCAAAGCCAGCTGATCCCAGCTGACTGCCACAGGGCTGCCTCTGCTGCGGTGAGTCCCCGTCACAAAGCAACCCTAACCCACCTGCCACCCACAGGGCACTGCCCCGGCTGGGAGCAAGGGCCATATCGGAGGGCCTCCTGCCCGGTGGGGTGCGCCAGTCCTGCAGGACCAGAACACCCTGGCATTGGCCAAGGCATCTTGACTTATACAGAGAGTAAAGGCAAGGACTGCCCAACTGTGGCGCCTCCCTGCCTGCTTGGTGCCCAGTGGGACTTCCTGGGTGGTCGGAAGAGCCCTGCCTGCCATGCATGCACAGTGTCTATTTTTTTCTGCATCGCAACTATGGTGAGTGTGTGACAAGGTGCCAACATCTGGGGGCGGTACACTGCCAAGGTCTGAGCCAGCCAAGGGGGGTGGCACTGGAGGGAAAGGACAGGACCACCAAGAGATGCCCACAGAGCAGCTTGGGCCAAAGCTCTGGTGGTGGGGTCCTGGGGGATGCTTCCTGCCCCTACCTCTGGCCATTCCTGCTGTGAAAGAGCCATTCTGCGGGCTGCAGGTGCTGTTGTCCCCTCCACACACCCTGCACACGTCCCACGCCTGCTGAGAGTCCATGCGGCCGTCACAGCCGAACGTCTGCACACGGGGATGACAGAGGGCCAGTGTCAGAGGAGGAAGATGTCTCCTGACACTGAAGTTCCGGAATTAGCTCACAGGGCTCACGGGTGTCCCCCAGGCCACGGCGGGACCGTGGCCTCAGCTACCTCCAAGTCTCCGCCTTCCCAGTGCGGCTCCCCTGTGTACCCACAGACCTGCCCGGGGCCTTCCGAAGGCACAGGCAGGCCTCAGGGCCACGAGTCGGAGGGACACCCAGGCTGGCCATGCACACCTACCCGGCAGCTGCCCAACACACACAGGTTCAGGGTCCTGTCCTCCTCGGGGCCACTGGGCACACATCGGGTCCCGTCCAGGAACTGGTCTCCACGCCGCATGATGAAGCTCTCGCCGACAGCCCAGCACAAGTGTGTGCACAGAGCGTCCCCTGCGAAGGCAGAGGGACAGGGAGCCCTGAGGCGAGGCAGGCAGGGAGAGCAGGGAGCTGGCTGTGCCCTGCTGAGCTCTCCCCTCATCTTCTCACCTAATTGGCTCCCTGGATTTTGGGCTCCCGGTCCTGCCTCCTGAGGCAGTAATGAAAATCAGAGTCTGACGACAGTCACTGGATCAGGAGCCAAGTACTACGCTCAGGATTTCCCCTACAGTTTTCTCCCTGAATCCCTCTCCAACCCCAGAGGGAGACGCTGCCATGGTCTCCATTTCCCAGATGGGAAACTGAGGCTCAGAGATGGGGCTCCAGAGCTTATCAGATGGGCTGCCAGGCCGGGCACGTGCCATGGTCTGCAGGACATCAGAGCCTACCCGGCCCAGCCCTGCACGCAGCCTGGCAAGGGGCCCAGCTCCCCGCGCTGCATGGCCCACCTTGGCTGTACTGCAGGGCAGCGGCCCAGCGGTAGAAGGAGGCGCCCCCCTGGGAGAGGGGCAGTGGCTGGCCATCGGTCTGGGCACACTGCTCGGACATGAACTCCAGCTGGGTCTTCTCGCAGGCCTGGCCAGAGTGGTAGAAGACAGGCTCAGGGGCCCTTGTCATGGCACAGCCTCCATGCGGGTCAAGACACAGGGTGACACAGCTGTGCCAAGCGTCCTGAACAGTGGAGTGGTCAGCGCCCTGCCTTTCTTTCTGCAGGTGGGAAAGTGCTAAAGAATTGGTAGAGGACGTGGGACAGCAGCACAGAGAACGCAGGAAAAAGCACTGCCCTTGTGGGACCTCTGAGAAATCAGGGCTGGCTCTGTCTACTCTCTGGGTCGCAGGTGATGTCAAGTGGGAAAGGAGAGGGACTTTGAGGGTCAGGAGCAGAGGACGCCACACCCAGCCCCAGCTCCCGGGCAGGCATCCGGGTATACTCTGCAATGGAGAGAACCAGAGCCGACCCGCAGGACAGGGACATCGCTGCCGGCCGGAAGGAGGCAGAACGGGTTGGTGTGTGGGCCACGGCATGGCAGTTCCGGTGTTACAACACCCTCCTGCCAGCTCGCTATGGTGGGATAACCTCAGCTCTCTGAAGCCCTGCCTCGGTATTACAAGGGGTAGCCGTTGAGGGTAAGGAGACCAGTGCAATTCCTCATCTCCTTCCGTGCCTCCTGCCAGTGAGGACCCAGTGTCCTCCCCTCAGCAACACTGCCACAGGAAAGGGTACCACCGGGGCAGCAGGGAGCAGCCCTCATGGACACAACTCTGCCGGGGCCCTGAACCAGGGCTTCGGCTCCAGACCAGGCAAAGCAAATGTCTGTGTCTGTAAATCACCCACGGGCCACACTGTGTCACACAGACTGAGACAGTACATAGCCCAAAGGAGCAAGAATAGGGACCCCCGACAAGTGCGACACAAGCTCTTTCTCGCAGCACAATTTGCAGCAGATGACGGGTGGCAATGACGCCAGGGCCCATCAGTACACAAAGGCCAGGGAATCTGCATGCTGTCTGGCCACACAGTAGTTTAAAAACGGCCTGGGGCACAGCTCAGCCACAAAGCACCTGCCCAGCATGCATTACACCCTGGCTTCCATTGCCGGCAATCCCAAGAAAGAAACAATGAAGTAAAAAATAAAAGGATCGGCAGGTGCTGGCTCAGGTGGAGGGGAGCCTGGGGAGAGACTGCCCTGTTATCCGCAGCAATAGAAATAAGCGTCTGGAGCCAGGCAGGGGTGGTGGCCGTGCAAAAGGCTCTGGTCGTGCACTGTGAAGCTGGTGACCCATGCTATGCGGTTCCTCCTCGACTCATAAAGGAAAGGAGCTCTGGTGCTGGCAGCGGTGGGTGCCATCCCAGGGCCACGCTCACTGGCAGATGTGCCTTGGAGGACAAAACTCGCTCGGGGAGGGAGGGGACGCTTGGGACCACAGCTGGTCATGCCAGGACCACCCCGCTGCGGTCCCCGGGGCCCACCCCACCCTGTCTGGGAGACAGGCCCACCTGAGCGTTACACATCTCAGCCTGCAGGTCCTCCCCGGCGCACGCCCGACCCCCGAAGGCAGGCCTGGAAATGTGGAGCACAGGTCAGAGGCGACCACAGCCCCGCAGGGACTGGAGGCCCAGCCTCCCTGGGAGGACCAGACTGGCAGCCCCTCCACAGTACCTGGGGTTGTCACACCGCCGCCTCCTGGTGACCACGCCTCCTCCGCAGGAGCGGGAGCAAGGACTGCTAGGGCCCCAGCTGGACCACTGCCCATGCACTGCGGCCACAGGTGTCAGCTCCGCCAGGGGGCGGCAGTGACCCTTAAAGCACCACTGCAAGAAGGGCCGGCTCTGTTACACTCCATGGGACACAAGCACGCGCGCGCGCACACACAAGGGGCCCCAAATCCACAGGGACCCCGCCCTCATAGGCTCCCCTGTACCTTATTCAGCATGAGTACTTTTTTTTTTTTTTTGGTTGTTTTGAGACAGGATTTTACTCTGCAGTTCAGGCTGGCCTTGACCTCACTATGTAGCCCTAGCTGGCCTCAGACTCATGGTGATCCTCCTGCCTCAGCCTCCTGGGTGCTGGGATTAGGTGTGTGCCACACCTAATTGTGCTTGGGAATAAACGCTAAAGGGAAGAGGTCAGACCACCAACCTGAAGGACAGAGCAAGTGCCTGGCCGCCCAGAGAGCAGAAATCAAGGCTGAGAGGGCCTGGGGGTTAACCAGAGGAGGTCTGGGGGAAAGCTGGGGCCACACTGTCTCCTTTCTCTGCACAAGAGGGCAAGACATGATCCCTGTGTCTAGGACTGGGGAGGAGAGATGGGGCCCTGTGCCTGGGAGAGGGGTTCAGAACCCCCAACTCTCCAGGTTGGCAGGGGCTCTGCTTTCAGGAAGGTCCCCTGGCCTCGCAGGCACCAAGTGCATTCTGCAAACCTAGGAACCTGCAGCCCAGCCTGGAGGGCTCAGGTGGCCGGCAGACAAATCTCGCCCACCCTCAGGGTACCCCAGGGGCATCTGCTGCCACCCTCTGGACCTGGCCAGCACTCTTCACCCAGCCCCTCGTTACGGACCTTCTGCCTCCTACCCCAGGGTAAGGGTGCCAGGCTGGAGGGGCCCTGTGTGAGCATGCACATGCCTGAGTGTCCACACTCATGCACACACACCTGTCCACGTCACACCTGTGCACTCACCTGGGCATGCACCCATGCACCTACCTGTGCGCGTGGGCGCGCGCTGAGAAGCTGAAAACGAGTTAGTTATATCAAGATGGGCGCGCGCGCGCGCGCACACACACACACACACACACACACACACACACACACACACACACACACACACACAAGCTCAATCTCTCTTCCTGCGCCCTGACCTTCTCCACGCCGCATTCTGTCCCATCCAGGAGAGGTGCGAGGCGGCGGCTGCAGCTACTGTGGTCCAGGGGGTCGGTGTGGCAGGACAGGGCCTGACACATGTCCTAGGTGGAGACAGGAGGTCGCTCGGGAGCCACAAGGCAGTGCCCCTCCCAGGCTGCAGGACACTGACAGCCAGTGCCCTGTTCTGGGGACACCGGTGCGTGGCTTGAGAGGACAAGGCGCCCTGACTCCCATGAGGGGCAGAAGCCCTGCCAGGCCCACCAGGTTTCTCAGGGCCCAAAAATGTTCTGATTTCTTTTAAAATCAGCAAGAAAGCGAACATTTAGGTCAAAATAGGTACTACAATATAATGCAGTATACTGGAACTGACAAAGGTTATAAAAGTATGGAAGCCGTGGTGGAGTTTCTGGAGGGAGGAGCCCACCAGGGCAAAGGCCTGGGACCCCCCACTGTCCAGTGAGGAGGCACTGCCTCTGGGCTGGGTGCCCTTGGAAGCTGTCTAAGGCTGGCGTCCTCATCAGCCGGGTGTCTGCAGGCACACGTGTGTGCCAGGACCACCTGCACGATTTGCACGGCCCAGTCAAAAATGTGAGGATGAGCCGGGCACAGTGGCTCACGCCTATAATCCCAGTACCTGCAAGGCTGAGGGAGGAGGATCACAGTGAGCTCAAGGCCAGCCTGGGCTACACAGTGAGTTCAAGGCCAGCCTGAACTACACATCTAGACCCTGTCTCCAAAAACAAAAATAAACTGTGAGGACTTCATACCAAAATTTGAGGATTTCAAGAGGCAGTTGTAGGTGCTGGACCAGGGATGCGGCTGTCCCTCTGAGCCTGGCACTCAGCACACGGGTAGCACACTCACCAGCCCCTCCCTGGCAAAGGTGCAGGCAGCGGCAGCGGGGCCAAAGGCAATGCGGCACTGTTCCTCCATGCCGTAGTAGAGGCCAGGCTGGGCATCAGGCAGGCGCCCCGCGGGTCTCCACGGCGACCTTGGCAGGTCCCACATGCAGCGCCCCCACCCTGTGCTGTGACAGGTCCTGGCTCAGGCCCCGGGGAACACGGGTCATGTGGACCAAAGGGTGGATATGGGGGGGGGGCTCAGGCCCTGGGTGGCACAGGCTGGTGAGCAATGGAAAGATGGGGGAGAGGGGCGAGGCGGAGAGGTGGGTGCTGGTGTGCAGAGGCCTGAGGGATGGGGTGGGACAGAGAGCCTAAGGGGTGAAGAGAGAGAGTACGGGTGGAAGTGGGTGCAGCAGGGAGCCCCGGTGTGTGCCACATGGGCGAGCTGGGTGCTGTGGTGTGGGGGCAGTACCTGAGCAGCTGCTGCAGCTGCCTTCGGCTACAGGGGGACCACACCCAGCCCCTGTGGGTGGTCGCCACGCCGTCGGAGGCCATCACGTGTCCACTGGGCCCACAGCCGCTGCCAGGTGCCCCATCGTGGTCCAGGCCTAAGCTGAGGTCAGGGCAGCACTGAGGGCAGCCAGCATGGTCAGGGGCCGGGCCCCCAAGTTTCCAGACATGGGTCAGCCCCTGGCTCTGCCACCAGCTAATGAAGGACAATGGACCTAGTTCCAGCTCTGCCTCAGTTTCCTACCTGGGTGTGGTGGGGAGCATCGGCCCCACAGGTCGGTCCTGCCTCTTTTGGCAGTTAAGGCTTTTAACATACACAGCCCAAGGGCTGAGGATTTAGCTCAGTGGTGCTGCCACCTGCCTTGCAAGCACAAGGTCCTGAGTTGGATCCCCAGTACCAAATAAACAAAACAAAATAAAAGTCGGATAATAGGAAAAAGAGAAAAAAGTTTAAAGAAAATATGCAGCCCAAATTAATCCATGGCATCACTATCCTGAGGCGGGTACTGGGGCCTGGGTGACTGCCTGTGACCCTTTCTTCTCTGGGCTACAAGGCGTGCCCATGAGTGCTGAGAGCTGGAAAGTTCTAGAAAATATGGCCACTGTCTCCACTGCTGGGCAGTGGCTTTTAGGCAACAATGGGAAAGCAGGGCTGACAGTCCTATGGGGGCAGCGCTGCCATCAGATCTGAAAGAGGAGCTCCCCACCACCCCGGGGCCCTCACCCTACCCTGAGGTGGGCGACCAGGGTAAAAACTTTCACCTTTCAGCCAGGTATGGCAGCGCATGCCTGCAGTCCCAGCACTCGGGAGGCTGAGGCAGGAGGCTAGCCTGGGCTACACAGCTTGGATTACAGAGCGAGACCCTCTCTCAAAAAATCAAAAATAAGCTTTCGCTTTTCATTAGAAGTCCCTGGACTGTTTGACTTTGGGGGTATTGCTCTCATCATTTAAAAAAGCAAGAATCAAAAAGAAGCCCATCACTCTAAGTAAACAACAGAAGACAGAGCAAGATTTGCCCATAAAAATGCATAACGTACATAACACAAAGACTTCAGAAACAACCTGAGTTACCCAACAAGAAGAAATTAATCAAATAAGTTGCAGTGCATAAAAAAAAGAGTAAGAGATCTGAGAGAGATTTGGGGGATATATTAGTACACTAAAAAGCAGGCTTCCATGTGAACCTGGTTTTGTCAATAAAACATCATGTGTGTTGTATATATAAAGAATAGGCTGGAATAAAATACAAACCACGAGAGGACTTTAGGGGGTGGGATTTGGGGTGATTGTGACAGCCTGCCTTTTCATTATCTGAGTTTCCTACAAAACTTATTTTCTGATCGCTGTTTATTTTACTTTTTTGGTGGGGCAGGGGTCTCCTAGCCATTTGGTAATCAAGAGATGTCAGAGGTCCCCGGCTGGCCCTACCCTCGCAGGCCCTGGGTTGGGGTGGAGGCTCCCCTGGCAGACTCTGTCAGGGCCCACCACCTGCCAAGACCCCCCTCACACTGGCCAGAGCGGGGACAGCTGGTGTGGCCGCATACCTGTGCCCGATCTCGTGTGCCATGGTGACCCCCAGGTCAAAGCCGGTGTCCTCAGTGATAAGGCAGCTCCACAAGGGGGAGCAGGCTCCTCCCAGCTGGGTGACCCCCCGAACCTGCCGATTGCCATCAGGCGACTCCAGGTCAAACCTTGGCAAGAGAAAAGCGTCACCACCAGGAGGGCACAGCTTGGGCGTGGGTCCCGAGCAGAGGGCAGGGAAGGTCAAGGAAGGGCCGACCGGGCAGGTACATCTGTACTGAGCTCGGCTACCTGGTGACGTAGAGGACCAGGTCTGCGTGCCCAGGATCCTTGTCGTCTGCGGGGTGGACTGACCGGCTCCACTCACAGACGCTCAGCAGGGACGAGGTGATATTGGCGGTGACATTCGGGGTTCCCTGCAGGATCGGCAGCAGAGCCCACTTCTCTGGGGTCTGTCCCAAGCGTGGTGCTGACCACTGCTTGGTCCTACTTGTAACAACCCGCTGCAATCCCACATCACAGGTGAGAAAACTGAGGCTCCTGTGAGTCGTCACGAGCCAGCCTGCCCGGCTGACAGCCCTGAGCCACTGCGCCCCACAGGCATTGCAGGAGGAAGGTGAAAAGGGTGAAGGCAGCACTGGCTTGGCGCCTGACCGCGTGGGGCAGGGGTCAGTGAGTGCCTACCTCGGGCTCCGTGAGGATGAGCAGCTTTACCAGGTGCACGTGGACCTGTGTCCCCAGGGAGGGATCCCTCAGCAGCTCTGACCCCTGCGGAGGCCACGTGTAGGTGGGCAGCACTGACCCCGGACCCAGTGGGAGCAGCAGGACAGGACGTGCCGTCCGGGGCCGGGGAGGTGCGCATCCTCGTGCTGGGGCCCACTGCGGAGCCCGACGGTCACACGGGCCTCTGGGCCTCCCCCCCGGCCCTGTCCTGTCTGTCTCCGTCCCCTGGCCGGGAGCACCTTCTCCTCCACTCGGCTTGCTGAGTCTGACCCCGACAGCCACCTCTCCCCATCACAAGCGCATCCCTGCCCTGGCTTCTCAGTACACGGCTCATGACTGACCGTATTCCCATTGTTTGCCCTGGTTTGTTCCCCCATAGCACGTAGTGCCCGCTGGGAGACAGGCCCATCGCCGGCCATGGCTGGCCTGAGTTCGAATCCAATCTCTGCCCCTTGCCAGCTGTGAGCTCAATGTTCTGTTAACCAAGCACCGAGCCTCAGTTTCCTCCTCTGTGAAATGGAAAAGGCTGCCTTGATTGTCAGCACACTTGGGGACAGTGCAGCTGTGAAGGACCGGGGCTCATAGTGGCTATTCCCACCATAGGGACATTGCAGAGGGAACCAATCTTATCTCTGCTGCCCAGCCAGCCCTCAGAGAGCAGGCGAGTGACTGAGGGAGCTGAGGCTGGGTAACTGGGCTCTTGCACATTTTAGAACTGGAAGGGGACAGAGACCCCGAAGTTCAAACACAGTGGCTTCCAAGTGACTTAGAGGAAACAGTTCTCCCTGGGAAAACCACCTCCGTGGTAGGCAGGAAACCTACACAGGGTTGTTCAGGACTTGGACCCTGTCCGCAAACAGGACTGACCGCGGGGCCGGACACCTGGGAATAGGGCAGGATGAGGAAGCAGGGCCAAAGCACCATCCAAAGCCACCCTCTCCTGGTACCCTCCGGACCTCTGCAGCAGCCCAGGGAGACTGGGAGGGAGCTGAAACGAGGTCCTACTGTCCTTCCAATCCAGTCAGTTGGAATTTTAGAGCCATTTTTCAGTGAGTGATCCTAGCCGCTCTCTTCAGAGCTTGTCTTAGGTTGCGGCCCGATGGTGGGTGAGTTCCTGACCTCCCAGCCTGGGCCTCGGCCATTTAACATGCATGGTGTGTGTGTGTGTGTGTGTGTGTGTGTGTGTGTGTGTGTGT